CCCTTGTTGACCTCCGCCTGGCGGAGTTGGAAGCGACAATTTCCAGTGCCCTCTTGGGGCCTCTGGGGGGCCCCTCAGAAAGCTTTGGGGAGCACAGTGAAGGCCTTCGCAGGGCCGCGTGAGAGCCGTACCAGGGCCGCATGTGTGCGCGGATGGGGGCGACGAGTGCTGACGCTGACGAATCTGAGAATGATGAGGGCGATCAAGGCTGGCCCGAAACAAATCCTGACGCCATTGCAGGCCGCCGATTATCGGCCACGCCGCCAGGACGACGCCAAGCAACAAAACGACACCAACCAACAAAACGACACCAACCAACAAACCAACAAATCGACACCGACCAACAAAAGGACACCAAGCAACAAAACGACACCAAGCAACAACACGACACCAACCAACGAAACGACACCAACCAACAAAACGGCACGAATCAACAAAACGGCACTGACCAACCAAACGACAAATCACTTCACGACACCAATGAACAACGCGAAATCCACCGACCGCCAACCAAACATAAAATCAACCGACACAACGAAACCAACCCATAGAGCCAGACCAACCACTGGATTCGTGAGTCGGGGTAGTCATGGAAGTGAGCCGCTGCAGCCCGCGGAAGCCATTAACAGTGACCAGAGCACCGCAATGCAGCAGCGTCCCCGGGCGGCGGCGGGAGTCTCGGATCTCCCGCGGGACTGGAGCGTAGCGAGTTCGTCCTGGGTCCGGTTTAGTGAAGTGAAGAATTTCGGGGTGCTTGCATGGCAAAAACCTTCACTTCACTAATCTGGGGCCCCTGGAGCCCCAGGGCGTTTCAGGTCCCCTCGCTGTCTGGGTAGTCCAGGGGGCGCAGTGGCGGCTTACCAGAGGCCCTGTTCCCTAGCCTCACTTGTTTTCACCCGTGGTGCTCGACGGCCGTCTCGGAGCTGTCTTGTGGCGGTCTGGGGCAATCCCGAAGCCTCTTGGAGCCATCCCAAGGCCCCAAGGCGCCACCAAAAGGGGGCCCAAGAGAGCTCCCAGAGGGCCCCGAAAGGCCTACAACATATTGCACGTTCGCGCGAATTTTTTGTACCATTTTGGGGGGTCCCTCTTGGGGCCCTCGGGGAACGTTCTGGGGGCCCTCCGGGGGCCCACTGGGGCCCCGGGAACGCCCCAAGAACGCTCCCAGAGGGCCCCAAGAATGCTCCAAGAGGGCCCCAAGAGGACCCCCACAAGTGACAAAAACTATTTGCATGAGGGTGCAACTGATTCGGCGCCTCTTGGGGCGCTCTTGGAGCCGTGGTGGGCGCCACTCGTGGACGACATGGGCTGGGCGACGGCATGTGGACCCTGTCGCTTGGGCCATCGGGGGTGCTCCCCAATGGGGCCACGAAGCGTGTGAGCGTATGACGGAATGGGCTGGGCGGCGGCCTGTGGGCCCTGCCTGTGGGGCCGTCGGTGCAGCTCCCCGTGGGGCCACGAAACGTGTGAAACGTATGCCGAAATATGCTGGGCGGCGGCCTGGGAAACCTGCCGCTGTGACTTTTTTTGGTGGAACTTCCCATGGGGGCACGAAATGTTTGAGGGTGTGTCAATGTGGCCTGGGCGACGGCATGTGGACCTTGCCGCCGGGACCTCCGATGAGCTCCTCATGGGGACACGAAGCGTCTGAGGGGCGTGCCGACATGGGCTGGGCGGCGCACTAATGACCCTGCCGATGGGGCCTTCGGTGGAGCACCTAACAAGGCCACGAGACTTGCGGGGGATGTGGCGAAGCAGCGCCCCGGGGAATAAGGGGGGTGTTTTGATGATGTTGATGAGGATGGTGGTGGTATCGATGATGGAGACGACGAGAATGCTGATGATGCTGATGATGCTGGTGATGGCGACGATGACGATGGACGATGACGACGGGGACACGCGGAGAGCAGGGGCAGATACGAGAAGACGGAGGACGAGGGATGAGACCGGAAAGAATGACGCGGGGCGGTGTCTCTTCAAAACGAAGAACCAACACTGCAATATGGTAGGACATTTCTGGACGACCCCCCCCCCGTGGCGCGGTCAATGTCCGCGACAGCATCGCTGGCACTACGAACGAAATGTTCGAACTCTTCCTGCGAGGTTACCCGCGGGGTGGATCTGCCAGGGATGGGGGTCGAAACCGCCCCAGCGCAAAGCAAATGTACAATCCTGAGAAAACCAGCCCACATCAACCAATCCGCAACAAGCACGCAAGCCTTTGACGACCCCAACGCACGTGACATCGCATAACGCGACGCGCCATCGAAAACGTTCGACGCGCGGCCTCGGAATGACATCGGGCTTCGTGGAACGTCGAATGGAAAACATGAAAAACCGCCCTTTGGGCTCCGAGACCCAGATTTAGTGATGTGAAGGATTTCGGGCCTCGGAACATACCAGAAATTGTGTTTTGGAGGAATTCTGGATTATGCGGGTGCAGCGGTTACGTTGATTCTCTGTTGAAGTCCTAGGAATGGCGGTCTGGCACGATTCAGGACCGTCAAGGCGCGACAATCAGGTTGAGGTTGATCCGTGGCGTTGAAATCCCGAGACACTGTTTTGGCATGCTTCAGGGTCTTCAAACGGGTGACTTCCAACAAGGCAGTTCCATCAGTGGGCATGGACGCTGTAGGGGCCTGTGAAAAGGGAGTTTGGAGGGAGAGTTTACTCCAACATCGTTGATGACTCTTGGGTTTACACCGGTCCTCCACCTCCTCCTCCTCCCTCTGCTTCTCCTCTTCCTCGTCCTCATCCTTGTCCTCCTTCTCCTCCTTTTCCTCCCCCTCTTCCTCCCTCCTCCTCCTCTCTGCTCCCTCCTCTCTCCTCCTCCTCCTCCTCCTCTCCTCCTCCCCGCGGGTTCTATTCATCAGCCACGGGGGTGGGGGGGGGAGGGGGGTCCGGTCATTTGTTAATCACAAGCTGACATTATCAGGCTATAGAGCTGTCGGGCTCTAGGGCGACAGAGATATAGGGCTATAGGGCACTGAGGCTATCGGGCTATAGGGCTATATGGCTACAATTTTATAAATCTATCAGGCGCCCGGGCAACCGGGCACCTGGGCATCCGGGCGGCCCGCGGAAATCAGTGACACACCTCACCTAACCATATGAATCCGCTAGGAGGACCCCTGCAGAGGCAAGCTCTGATTGGGGAACAAAGAAAAGGCACCAACAATCTGCAAAAACAGTCAAAAAATCGTCCCCAGACTTTTTCGTAACTGCTTTTGAAGGACAGGCCCGACTTACACGCCTGTCTGAAGTAGGTAGAAACATGAGTAGAAAGGCGTTGAAAATAGATTGGGTTCCGTCCGCCCCCTGAGAAGGACAGAAAAGGTGAAACCACTCGATCATTGAAGTAGGAAGGCGCTGGAAGTAGATTGGAATCTGGGAACCCAAAAATACCTACTTTCAGCGACCGATGGGTAATCGTACTTCGGTCTTCCAGCGGCCGTTGAGGACGATCAGGGCACCCCTGGGGGACGCCCTCGGCGGGGCGCAGCTGCTGAGGGGGCACCCCACGGCCGGGAAGCCTCCCCGGGAGACAGCGACAGAACTCCCGAACCTCTCGGGCTGTGCTGCTCCCATCGTACTGGGCAGTCTTTGATACACAGGATGTTTCTAAAATATCGGATTTTGAATACAGGATTAATTTATGAATCAATGTATGCATGAACTCATCGTTGCTTCTAACACTGAATCCCTGCCCTTTTTAATACATGATCCGCACGCGGAGAAACGGCACTGCACTTAAGAGCCACATCCCAGAGATGATGCCGAGCACCCAGAAGAAGTCTCGAAACGGTGTCGAACGGGTATCGCCCCCCAGGGCCCAGCACTTGAAAACCCTCGAGTTTCGGTACTCCCTTGGTGCTCGAAATTCTTTCGGGCGGTCAAAATTCAAGTAGGAACTCTCGAGACGAGGACCGACGGCGACGACGAAGGCGACGACGACGACGACCTGCAGCGACGACCGGCGCCCGGCGGCGGCGGCCAGCGGCGGCCGACGACTGCAGTCCCCGGCGCTGCCAGCAAGAGCGCATCGGCAGGAACCGAACGGCCTCCTTTTGGGGGGCACTTGCCGTCGCTCGGACGTCCAATTCCCGTGCGTGTTTCGGTTTCCTGCGTGTTTTTTTGGCTCGATGCTCCAGGATGGTCCTCAAGGGCCCTCGCCGAGAAAAAATACACACGTCCGAGCGATGCCAGGGGCAACGGCAAGCCTCGGCCACGCATCGGCTCCCCAACATGCAGGCGTCGGGAGCGGCGCGACGAGGAGAGCCCCTCACGAGCGCCAAGGCAGTCCTTTTTTTTGCAGCGCCCCTCGACCGCACGACGGCGATCGAGGAGGGGATCGACGACAGAATGGGTGTGACCCCAGACTTGCTGTTCTCCCCAACTCTCCCCCCACCCACAGATACGTGGAATGCTCGCAGATCTTCGAATCTGCTCGATGCTCGCAGAAGCAAATAACAACTGCATGAACATCGACTTTGGGCGCTCCGCCTGGATTTCTTGGATCTCTGGACCGCCATTCCTGGCGCGCGCGAAGCGCGCCCGAGGCGGCGCCAGAGGCGCCGCTGGGGGGGGGCCCAGCGCGGATCCAAGACATCCGCGCGGAGCGCCAAAAGTTTATATTTCTGGCGTTTTTACTTCTTCGAGATTCGACGCACCAATACATCGTGGGGCAGATCAACTCTTTAGTCGATCCCCTCCTCGAGGAGCAGGGAGGGGGAGAGGGAGGAGGAGGAGGAGGAGGAGGAGGAGGAGGAGGAGGAAGAGGAGGAGGAGGAGATGGGCAGGACAGGACAGGACAGGACAGGACAGGACAGGACAGGACAGGACAGGAGGAAGAGGAGAGGGAGGAGGAGGAGGAGGGAGGAGGAGGAGGAGGAGGAGGAGGAGGGAGGAGGAGGAGGAGGAAGAAGAGGAGGAGGAGGAAGAAGAGGAGGAGATCAATGCCGCAGCCGATCCCCTGCTCGAGCGAGGAGGAGGACGGCCGGCGCCTGGGGCTGCTCGGGGCCTCCGAGGCGCGGCTCGCGGGGGCGGAGGTCGAGCCCTCCGAGCCGTCGGCGCGCCTCGCCGCGCGGCCGCGGGCTGCTCGTCGTCGTCGTCGTCGTCGTCGTCGTCGTCGTCGTCGTCGTCGGCGGCGGCGGCGGCGGCGGCGGCGGCGGCGTCGGCGTCGGCGGCGGCGGCGGCGTCGCCAGCGTGTTTCTGGCTTCGCCGCGGGGGCTGCCTGGTGGGTATGGGGGGCGTTTCCCGCGGATGCCAAGAGGGGTCGTGTGTCTGACCCAACCTGGCCCAAAAGAAGGGGCTACAAATGCCCTGGGTGGCACAGGTGAGTGTAAGCATCTGGGCGAAGTGGGCTCCGCCCACTTTGCGAAGTTGTGCCCCCCACCCCGAAGCAAGCCACTTAAGGCACCTTGTAATCCACTTAAAAACCAGGTTGGGCCAAATATTGGGGAAACCAACAGGTACCGATACCGCTACCCCCACGGGCCTCTTCCGGCGCGTGTTGTGACCAGCATTTCAGGGACAAAACGGTGGCGACGAGGGCCTCCAAGAAGGCCCAAGAACGGGAAAAAGGGCGAAGGGTAGAGGTATGGTACCTTTTCCTCCTCCCATATATGACCCACCGAGGCGTCTGCTTGTATCCCCCCGTCCACTCAGCAACCCCCGCGGCGATCCCAGAGGGACGAGGGCGGACATCTTCTGAGTCCGGTGGAGGTCGAGGCCACGATGCCTCTCACACCTCTCCAGGGTCATGGGCGATAGTTACCTCCGCTGGACTCGCCTCGAAGCCCTGGTCAGAACGCACACTAGGATTCGGTCGGGCGTGTCTTCCTACAGGCGGATTTTGAACGACAAATATTAAATAGTCAGAACATGATCACAAGTTGCAAACAAAAACAAAAGATCGTCCCTAGACTACTTTTCGACTGTTCTTGAATACTCCTCCTGCCGAGAGACACGCCCGACTTAGCCCTAGAGCGAGGTCCGTGAAGGAGCGGAATGGGTGACTATCTCTGAGAAGGGGGACTGAGGATCGAGGATCTTGGTGGGCGGAGGCGGGAAGGCTCTCGACGGTGTCCGTACAATTTCGGATGGTTTCTGGCAGGGCTGAACCGAAACGGTGTGTGTTCGTTTTCGTTCTGGTCTCGTTTTCTTTCGTCGTGCCTTCAATCCACCTCTACCGCAAAACGACATCGAGACGAACACGGCCCCCGCCATCGCCCAAACACCGTCCAGGTCCGGCCCTGGTTTCCGGACGCGGCCCGAGGGGCCGCTCCGGGAAGGGCGGGCTCGCCCCGCCACGAATCGAGCCCGGGTCTCATGGTCTTTGATTCCTCCGGACATTTTCTCCGCTGCTCTTGGCCCCTGGGGACTCCTCGCCATCGCTCGGGCGTCCACTCCCTGTGCTTGTTTTTCGGTCTCGTGCGTGGTTGTTTTTCGCCAAGTGCTCGAGGATGCTCCTCGCTGGTCCTCGCTGAAAGAAAAATGCACAGGTCCGAGCGATGCCAGGGCTGGGGACCGCTATCGGGCCCCAGTGCCAGCAAGCAGCGCTCTCTGAGGCGGAGCGCTGGCCACGGGGAAAAAGGGGTCTCGGGCCCCATGGGGCCGCGCAGGGAAAACAAAAAGCCATGCAGTGGAGGAGAGTCCACAAAAGGAACCTTCCACAAGAAATCCAACCCTGAGACACCAGGACGTCCATGGGGTTTTGGCGTGGGAGCGTCGCGCGTTCCACCGCAGATCCATCGAAACCACGGGAAGCCCAGGGCGCCCTGGAGGCAAGCAGGGTTCTTCTTGGCATGGGCCCCCACTGTACCGTCGGATGTCTGGGCCGTCGTCGATTGCTCCAAGATCGACGCTTCCTCGGGCGGTTCTGGGCCTCGTGGGCTCTGTCGAGAAATGGGCGACGGCCCAGAGGGGCTCAGGGCCATCGCTGCCGTGTCGAATGGTTCCTGGGGCTCTGGAGCAATGACCGTTAGGGGCCCCCAAACGGTGTAGTGACCAAACCATGTGGTGAGGCATTGGGGGTTCGGGGTTGCCGCAGGGTCTTGGGACCCGGGTTATGCTGCTCCCATCGTACTTCAGGACCACCTCCCAGAAATAGTGTCGAGCACCCAGAAGAGTATCGAAACAGCGTCGAACGAGCATCGCCTCCCAGGGCCCGACACGTGAGAACCCTCAGGTTTCGACATGTCTTGGTGCTCGAAATTCCTCCTGGTGACGAAGGCTAAAGAGTAGGTCGGAACAGCACACGACTCGTGTCGCTCTCCGACGGCGTCTCGGGCGACGAGAGCCTCCGAGGGCCCAGGCACCGCGCGGTGACGGACCGCACGGTGAGGTCGCCGGCGAACGTCGTCTTACGCGGCGCTTCGGCAGTGGGCGGAAGGGGGGGCACAGGGCACGGCTGCGCGGGCGGAGGTGCAAAAAGATGTTTTTTTTTTTTTTTTTTTTTTCGTTCGGCGTTTCGACACTGGGCGGGAAGGGAGAGGGAGGGGGGGGGGTCTGGCTCTGGACCTCTGCTTGATGCGACTGTTTGCCACAGTGCGTCCTGTGGGGGAGGCTCCGCCTGCCTGGAACAGGCGCCAAAAACAGTCCAGATCTACTCCTTTGGGGGGAGGAGGGGGGTGCGAGGGCCCGCGCCGATCAGCAAAGCCATGAAAGAATACGACGGCCTGGGGATTCCGAGGGCACCGCGAGCGGTCTCTCACGACACGGTCCTGGGACCCTCGATTCACCAGCCTGGAACATATCCCTATCCCTATGCAGGGCACCTCCTCATCACGATGCCAATCTTAGGGATTCCCTCATTTTCTGAGGGCGCATCCCTGAGATTGTCATCGCCTCTTGGCGTGTCAATCTTAGGGATAGGGATACGTTCGAGGCTGGCAATCGATGCCCGAGAGCACCTGGGCCACGGGGACCCTCCGGGCCGGCCAGGACGCACGGGGTGGCAGCCCCAAGGGCGGCGCGGAAGCCGCGTAGCGCGCGGCGCTGCGGCTGCGGCTCGCGGCGCGCCCGGGCGCGCCAGAAGTGGGTTGCAGGTTCCCCCTCCCCTCCTCCCCCTCCCCCTTCCCCCCCTCTCTCTGCCACAGTGTGCTCCGTGGATGGTACAACCGTGAATCAGCTCGCGCAGCAATTTCCTCCTGGGCCTCCCGGCGCTGGAGGCGCCACGGCGTCGAGGAAGGCGCCCCGCGGTCGGACCGAAGCCCGCTACACGACGCAACCCGCTGCGACGCCCTTCCTCTCCCCGTCCTGCCCTGCCGCACGACCTGGACCGTCGTGGGGGCGGGTCAGTTCCAGGGGGGCCCCCTTCCCCATGCTCCTCCTGCTCCCCCTCCTGCACGAAGGATTGCAAAAGATTGCAAAAAACCCAAGGATTGCAAAGGATTGCAAAAAAAACCCTTCTCCCAAGGGTTTTTGTTGCAATCCTTCGCCCAAGGGTTTTTTTGCAATCTTTTGCAATCCTCCCCCTCCTGCACCCCACGTTTCGCCTGTTCCGAGGCGGCCCCATGTCCCGTCGCTCGGGAAGTGGCCGCGGCCGCGCGCGCAGCGCGCCGAGCGCGCCCGCGTGCGCGCGCGGGAGCCCCCCGACTCCGCGGAAGTCCCCTGCGGCCCCTCCTCCTTCTCCTCCTCCTCCTAGTCCGAGGGGTGCCACGCAGCCGCGGAACGGTAACTAGAGGCCACGTCTGGGCCCGGCGACGTCGTCCGTGCCTCTGCCCTGCCAACGCTCCGCATGGCGCGCCATGACCCTCGCTGCCAGCTAGCACAGCTTCCACAGCAGCTCGCTTGCTCCCTCTCGGTGGTTGATCACCTCCCTGCCTCCTCCTCCCAGCTCCTTCTAACCCCCTCCTCCCGCACCTCCTTCTCCTCCTCCCCCTCCTCCGCGCCCTCATGCTCCTTTCCTCCTCCTCCTCCTCCTCTTCCTCATCCTCCTCCTCCACATCCTCCTCCTCCTCCTCACCCTCCTCCGCGTCCTCCTCCCACATCCTCCTCCTCCTCACCCTCTACCTCCTTCTCCTCCTCCTCCTCCTCCTCTTCCTCCTCCTCTTCCTCGTCCTCGTCCTCCTCCTCCTCCTCCTCCTCCTCCTCCCCCCCGTTCTTTCCTCCTCCTCCTCCTCCTCCTCCCCTCTCCCTCCTCCACCCCGGTTCCTTCCACCTCCTCCTCCTCCTGCTCCGCCTCCCTCCTCACCATGCTTCTCCTCTTCCTCTTCCTCCTCCTCCTCCTCGCCCTCCTCCTCCTCCACCCTCCTCCTTGTCCGCCTCCTCCTCCTCCTCCTCCATCCCGCCCCTCCTCCTCCTCCTCCCCTCCTCATCCTCCTCCTCCCTCCTTCTCCTCTTCCTCTTCTCCCTTCTCCTCCTCCGCCCAGTCCTCCTCCTCCTCCACCTCCTCCTGGTCCTCCTCCTCCTCCTCCTCCTCCTCCTCCTCCTCCTCCCCCGCACCGGCCTCGGCGCCGGGCCCGTCTCCAACTCGCCGCCCGCCGCGCGGGCGTGGCGAGGCACGCACCTGGCGAGCGGCCGCCCAGCAACAGAAGGCGCAGCAGCAGGCAGCAGTAATCAGTTCAAAGACGCTCGCTCTCCGTTGCTCGCGCCTCCCTTCTCCCTCTTCCCTCGGCATGCATCCAGATGCCTCCTTAAGGAGCCGAAAGGGATGCACGGTTCCGGTCCCACCGAGCAGGTCGTGCAACGAGATCCCTGCGCGATCGAGCCGAGTGCCGAAGTCGACCCCGTCCCGAAGCCGAACGATGGTTCTCTTCTCATTCGCCATGTACACCCCGAGAAGCTGATGCCCACCCTCCCCGTCTTCGATCGTACCAGTGCTGGGGGGTGAGGGAGGGAGGGGGGAAAGGGAGGGGAGAGGGGAGGGAGGGAAGGGAAAGGGAAGGGGGAAGGGGGGAGGGGAGAGGGGGATGGAGGAGAGGGGGAGGGGGGAAGGGAGGGAGGGAAGGGGGGAGGGGAGGGGAGGAAGGGGGGGAAGGGGGGAGTGGAGAGGGAAGGGAGGGAAGGAGTGAGGGAGGGAAGGGGGGAGGGAAGGGGGGGAGGGAAGGGGGGGGAGGGAAGGGGGGAGGGAAGGGAGGGAGGGAAGGATGGAGGGAAGGGGGGAGGAAAGGGCTGAGGGACAGAAGGAAGTGAGAACTAAGGACACTCGCATTACGGGCTTGTTGGGCGTCTCTTCCTTGCCTGCGACGTGTAGCTGGCGCGGCCCCTAGAACAGGAAAGGGCGGGAGACAATAGAGAAAAGGAGGGATCGGGGACTCGCCATCGCTCGGACGTCCATTCCGAGTGTTTTTTTTCGGTTTCGTGCGTGGCTTTTCCGCCAAATGGTCAAGGATGCTCCTCGATGGTCCTCGCCGGAAGAAAAATACACACGTCCGAGCGATAACAAGGGGAAAGGAGCCGGAAACGAGAGCAGGAAGGCAAGAGAGCCCAGATATCGAAATGAATAGGATTGTCGGGAATCGGCTGCCAAGTCGGCAGAAGTCGAATCGGCGGAAATCGGCAGAAAGGTGGGGCCTCATTGAGAAATCGGAACCCAAATCGGAATCCGGAGCCGAATCGAATCGGAATCGGAGCATCTCGAAAACGAACCGAATCGCATCGGGGGAATCGGAGCCTTGGGAAGGGGGGCAAGAGGGAGGGGTGAGGATTGAAGACGAACAAGGAATCGCAGGAAAGGGAGCAGAGAGGAGCAAGAATCCTGGCACGCGGACCCTCGCGGGCGGGTCGGGCGGGCGGACCCTGACCGGGGGGTTGGACGG